AAAAAAAAAAAAAGAGAGAGAGAGAGAGAGAGAGGCTGTAAGATGACTCCACAGGAGAGGTCTGACTGCCAAGCCTGCTGATGTGGATTTGATCCACGACGCTCATGGTGGGCCGAGAAAAACAGCTCCCAAAGGTTGTCCTTTGACCTCCACACTCACCTGTGGCATGCAATGGAAAAGATTCTGCCCTCGCCAGCCACCTTTGTTCCGCGTTCCTTTGTCCTGTGGGAGACCATGTTGCTGTGTGTTCATCAGGGTTCCCACTGTGTCTTGGGCACAGCCACTCTCTCCCTGAATCTGGCTCCTGTCTGTGCAGTTGGGAATGCCCCGCCCAGAGTGGACAGGCTTAGAAAAGACAAACAGTTGAACAAAAGTGCTCATCGTTTTTTGTTTGTTTGGGTTTTGGGTTCTAGTTTTTCGAGACAGGGTTCTACCATGTAACCCAGGCTGGCCTGGAACTGAGAGATCTGCCTGTCTCTGCCTCTCCAGTGCTGGGATCAAAGTGTCTGCCACCACAGCCTACAGTACTCCCTTTTTAACCAAGCACCATTGGAAGGAACTCGCCATTCAACAAGGACCTTGGAGAAGTCATTGAGAGAGAGAGATTCCTGTAAACACTGACCCAGGCGTCTACAAAACTGAGCTCTGAACAGAGGCTTTCAGGGCGCTGAAGGGCAGACACAGCTGCCATGTGGCCAAGGAACCTATTGCTTCAGGGTCCTGGTGTGACCTGTCCAGATGAGCTCCTCTGTCCCTGCTGTCACAAATGTCCTTCAGGCCAGCCTCTGACATCCATTATCTACTGAATTGGAGCCCAGAGCTGAGGATTTTCAAAAGAGATTATTTTTCTCTTTTTCCCCCCTTATAGATAGACAGCTCAGCCTTCTGGATTTTAAATGAATGAAAGATATGTCTACAAAGACCAGCAATATCAGCAAGCCAGAGAAACAATGAATGGGACACATAGGTAAGGGTGAGAGAGAACAGCTGGGTGGTGATGGCGCACGCCTTTAATCCCAGCAGAGGCAGGCAGATCTCTGTGAGTTCAAGTCCATCCTGGTCTACAGAGTGAGTTCCAGGCCAACCAGGGCTACACAAAAAAACACCGTTCAACAATAGCAACACAGTCATTGAGATGATCCAACACGTAAAAGGACTTGCCATCAAGACTGAAGCCACACACTGGCAGGAGAGAGCACGCCTCTATTTAAAGCATAAACAGTAAATGTAACAAGAATTAATCACAACAGCGCGTAAGAAAGGCGCACGGGAGGCAGAGAGGAGAGCTGTGCCGCAGAGGAAGTGAGGGCATCTTCAGAGTGGGAGAGGGAATTCCACAGCCCAACAGAGGGTGAATCTGAACAGCTCTTCCCGCCCTGGCTATGTAACCCAGGAAGGCGCGAGCCTCCCCTGAGCCCGCTCGCTCCTCTATACAGCAGCCTCGGGCAGGGGCGTCCCCTAGCCGGCCTCCCACTGCCCTGAGTGTGCTGGGACAGGAAGAGTCCACCCTGCCAGTTTGCCTGCTTGTGAGGAACTGGGAGCGAAGCCACCCAATGGCAGCCTGCCTCTGAACAAGGTCTGCAGGCACCAGAACAGCTACCACCTGCCGTCTGCCGAAAGCCCTTGAAACAAGGGCTTATTTTTAAATGTACAACAATCAGTAATGACTTTTTAAAAATTACCTTGGGAACCGGGGAAATGGCCGAGTGGGTAAAGTGCTTAGCACACAGCATGAGGACCCGGGTTCAATCCTCAGAACCAGATGTGCACTCGTGGTCCCAGGGCTGGGGAGGCAGATGGGGCCCGCTGGCTGAACTGCCTCGCTTACTGGGCAAGTTCAAAGCCGGTAAAAGACACTGCCTCAAAAAACAAGGTGATGGGCTGGCAAGATGGCACGGCAGGGCAAAGCATTTGCTGCACCATGAGCCTGGTGACCTGAGTTCGATCCCTGGATCCCATAGTAGGAGAACTGACACCTGAAAGCTGACCTCTGACCCTTCATACATGTGCTGTGATATTCAAGGACCTACATTCACACACACACACACACACACACACACACACACACAATTTTTAGAGTGGATGATCTCTTAGGAGTGACGCCCAAGGTTGACCTCTAGCCTCTGGAAGCATATACTCAAATGTACACAAATCGGCTTAGGCTAGGGGCAGGGTGGCCCAGTGGTGAAGTACCTGCTGATCTTTCATGAGGTCCTGGGTTTGTTCCCTGACACCAAAAAAGGAGACAAAATGGAAAATCGACAGACATAAAACTTTTACTGAAGATAGAGTCCAGTTATCAGATGGAGGACACATTAAATTTAATTTGCTAAGAAAATGCAGTGATAACCTAAGCAAACATGTTATCTAAGAAGACTAGATAGGTTTTAATGCTATACGAAACTCACTCATT